ATGAAAGAGTAAACCAAAATAAAAAAGAAAGTTGTTAAATAAAACCGACCGATTAAAAATTAGCACAAGTTTGTTTTTGACAAAAAGTCCCAATATTCACCTACCTCCGTTATTTTAAATGCAACTACATGCTTATTCATTTATGTTTTTTTTTTTTTTGTTTTTACTTTTTATTTTTTTTTATTTCTACTAAATTTTCTTATTTATTTTATCTTTTTGTTTTTGCAATTTTTTTTTTTTTTGTCGTGTGTATAGTGTGAGTCCATATATATTTGTTATTATTTAATAATGATTTATTGAAAGCACAAAAAATATCAAGGGAAGAGCCGTCTTAAAGCTATTTATTTTACTTATTATCTGCAGTATGATTTAATGTGTTTGTTTATGTTCTTAAATGTGCAGAGGTTTGTACAAAGGACTGCTGAAAAGTGCTCGGCCCGAGCATGAATGAATTCAAGAAAATTTTTCTGTTTGGACAGTTTACTTTTGGAAATAGAATCCGGACGAGATACAGACCCCCACCACCACTCACACGCGCACACGCACAAACATAAATACATAAGTGTATATATGTAAAGAGAGAGGAGGAGATAGAAATGAATACTGCATAGTGACTGTCTACAAACTCTCGACCTCCAATACTGAGCATTCTTCCCCATGAATATAAGACATTCTAAACAATATATACATATTGGCGTGTTTATTCGAAGAATGGTTCGTCAAAATTCGCCTTCCTCTCTACAGGGCGCTGATAGCTCAGGGGTAAAATCTCCGACTTGAGGCAATCGGATGTCTAGCCACGCTGATGGGCTGCGATATAGTGAAACAGTCTGCATGTGGATGACTATATATATATATATATATATATATATATATATATATATATATATATATATATATATATATATATATATTGATAGAGATGGAGATTATGTGGACATAGAAATAAACACTGCATGGTAATTGTCCCACCAGTATGTTCGCTTTCTATTTATAAACGCTATATCACCTATATAGAGCATCCCTATAAACGTAGTAAATTTTGAAATATATATGTGTGTGTGTGTTCATTAAAGATGACAGACAAGGTATTGCGTTTAAGCTTTTTATTTAATTTTTCTTGTGTTAGAACAAGTGTTTTCTTTTCTGAACACCGCTAACTGGGTTCGGAAAATAAAACATCCTTATAACTTAAAAAATATACACACAACCCATACACCCAGTTAAAAAGCAAAAATAAAATCATCCTTGATAATGGCTAAAAGTATAGACGAAAGCGCTCGGAATTACAGAACATTTGGACAGTTTCTACATACTTCTTTTCTACAGTTTTCTACATACTCTGTGTCCTGAAAAGAAGCACTTGTTCGAACGCAAGAAAAATTAAATAAAAAGCTTAATTGCAGTACCTTATCTGTCGTCTTTGATGAAACGTGAATAAATGTGGGATTGCTGCCTAAATACACAATATATATATATATATATATATATATATATATATATATATATATATATCCAGCGATTCGCTAAAAAGTCAGCATATACGATGAAAAAAATGACCAAAACTTAATCAAAACAAAGTGTTATCGTCAAAATATTTGTTATTATGAAGAGAAAACATCAAAGAAGTTTAAGTAAATTTTGTTGTTGTTTTTTTTTTGTGGGGTAATCCTCTTTTTTGGCGTCAACGAAGGCCCATAAATTAGTACGGGAAATCTGAGCGTCTTTTTGAAAAACACACTGATTTGAAAATTCTTACAAAAATCAGATAATTGTCGAATTTTAATAAAATTTTCAGGTCTTATTCAGAAATGAATTAAATTATTTTTGAAACGTTTGCATTTTTAGAAAATCTTGGTAAAATCCCACTTATTTAATATTATCGAGATATTCTTTTTTGTAGCGCTTAAAATTTATGTTAGTTTTAATTAACAATTCCTCGGAGAATTTAAATCATCAAATTTTACTTAATCTACTCTGAATCGTAAAATAAAAATAAGACATTTAATTCTGTAATAATTTGCAGCGGTCAAGTGGTATTGTTATTAAACAGAAATTCTATTTAGCAATCATAAATGGGAAAGTTTGCTACAATTTGACGACTCCCAGTAAATTCAAAAGAATTTTGAATTACTATTGTGTTTGTATAAACATGCCGATTTTTGTAAATACGGACGTCCGTACACAACATTATCAGAAAATAAGAGCAGTAATCATAGTAAATTTAAAATCTATGGGTAATTTTCTAACATTTCCCCAACAAGCGTCTACGTAAGTATGGCATTAAAGCCAAAGTACCTAAAAATCAATAAAATATTAGAAGCCTAAAATATTTTACACTTCTAATATTACTGGGAATTAAAAAATTATATAAAAAGGGCGTTTACGTTGTATTCGTCACGTTATTTAATACAGTCAACTCCACCTTACATAAATTCCCCAAACATCAGGCTGTTGATAAATTTGTCAACACCTCATAAAAACGTCAACCTCTGTATTAAAAATGCTTTTCTGCGATATTTCAAACTAAAAGTGAGCAAATCTTGTTTTTTTCAATTCAGATTAAGTAAAGTTTATATCAACTAATGTTTCTGAAATAACGTTTCAGAAATCTATGTTTTATTTTTGAATGATTTTTTTAATAAAAATAATTATGTTGTATTGACAGAGTTGTCAATAGAGAATATTTTATAGATTGTACTGATAATCAGGGAAAATAATTCAAATCAATTTAAATTCGTTTTGAAATACAGCAAAGTATTTTGCTTATTGGAAATATTAACTTTAACATATTAACATGGAATTAAAAATAAAGCAAAAGCTTCAAGAAAGATTTATTTTATTTTCAAATGCATTTTAAACCTTAGGTATCTCTTTTTTGGGATATATATATATATATATATATATATATATATATATATATAATATATATATATATATATATATATATATATATATATATATATATCCACCCAACCCCCACCAAAAAACATATATATTTTGGAGGTATATACATATATAGCTTCAAAAAGCATTGCATTGAAAATTTACATATATATATGTATGTGTGTGTGTGTGTAAGTTGACCAATATACGCTGCTAATAAACGAAAGATCGGTGATGACGGCGTGCAAGGATGTTATAAAATTCCTCTTAGCAAGTAGGAATATTCCTGAATAGGAATATTTATATAAAATTGGTATTTTCCTCCCAGCCTCTTTACTTCTTTCTTTCTACCCTTTATCAGCGGGATGTTTATGTATATAAGACTATCTTGGGGTTGAAAATTCAATTTTACGACCTGACGATACCCAATTGGCAGAAATTGCAGTATATATATATATATATATATATATATATATATATATATATATATATATATATATATATATATATATATATATATATATATATATATATATAGTAATAATCTTATAAGTATAAGAAATTATACTCGTTCGGAAAACCTTCGGAGTCTTGATTTGCAAATAATCAAACCAATACCAAAGGGGAAAAAAGTACAAAAAAGAAAGAGCCAAGGACATGTACGTTAGCCGAAAGTAATCGTCTAGCATGCAAGTCCAAAGCCCAAAGAAAACACCTCGATACGAGTAAGCAAAATAACTAAATAAAGTGCTCAATACAGTAAGTAGAGCAGACCTCGTTAAACCTAGAAAGCCAGCCAGTAGGTTTGTCTGACTCTCTAGATTTAACTATATATATATATATATATATATATATATATATATATATATATATATATAAAAGATAAAATATTTAGTAAACCAACCCTCGTGCTACTGCTATTACCATACTCTCGACAAAAACCCACTTTACAAAAATACCTCAATGAAACCTGATCTACTAATTGATTTTTAACAAAGAATACATATTCTCGTCATACGAACCTATCCTAAAAATCTTGTCGGCATTAAATAACCAATTGAGGGTGATATGCCGTAAAACAAAATAAAACAAGCCACTCTAGGATTAAAAGTTACGCATATTTCATTTTAATTAAGAGAACTGAAATTAAATTTACAAAACAAGACTACAAAGAAATAATACAAAAAAGTAAAATCTTCTTTAAAAAAAATTTAACAAAAAACAATCTATGCTTTCAGACATTTTATTATCGGAGACATATATGAAAAATGGATTGCAATGATTAAATAAACAGAAGTTTATCTGATGAATTAAAAAGAAACAAGTCAAATATTTCATGCAAAACTAATTAGAAATATTTAGCGTATCATGTAGCAATGTGCGGGTAGTATAACTATTAGCAAAGCCGAAGGGGGAATCAGCGAGCCGGCTGAGTCTGTTGTATGCACTTCCGCACTAATACCCAGTTATGGGTTAAATAACAGGAAAAACAGGGCACTCCAACCTTGGCTGATAGCTAATCAAGGAGAAGGACAAACCTGAATTCAAAACCATAGAGAAGAAAACGTGAAACTACTCCCCCATCTTTCCCAGGAAGCCATGATAATTCATAGATAAGAAAGAATCTGTGTAAAATCATGATCTTTCAAGGCCTGCAAGTAGGCATTCCCTGTTCATGAAAACTGACGCAACACGATCTCACTATTCCAATATATCATATGCGTATGTAATTATGTGCATAAAGCAATGAAAAACCTATTTATGCATACACATTGACACAGAGAGCTACCGTCTTCATTCATAAAATAATTTATTAATAGTTCTTTTTGTTTTCTTACATTTTCTTGTCAGATATTTTGTTTTTCATTCTTAAGTATAAAACGTGTATTCATTCAGATGTGTTAAGGCTGATAGCAAAATAGCTGAGAAAAGAAAAAGGAAAAGGCAAAGAAATTGAAAAATAGAAAGAAAACGGAGGGTGGAAGAAAGGAGGCTTCAAAAGTACGATTGAAAATAAACAAATGCGAGGGAATTGTGGAAAATAAAATAGACAAATGCATCATGGGAAATATAAGTATTAAAGGAGGAAAGAAAAAAAGATGGAATGATAAATGCTAAGAAAGAAAGAAAGAAAGAAAGAAAGAAAGAAAGAAAGAAAGAAAGAAAGAAAGAAAGAAAGAAAGAAAGAAACACGTGAATAAAGAAACAAAGAAAGACCTAATAAAAGTAAAAGGAAATAAAGACAAGAAAAAACAGCAAAGAAAATAAACATGAGGGGGAGAAAGAAAGAAAGAAAGAAAGAAAGAAAGAAAGAAAGAAAGAAAGAAAGAAAGAAAGAAAGAAAAATAACGCAAAGAAAGAAAGAAAGAAGATAAGAAAAAGAAACATCAAAGAAAAGAAACAAATGATAAAGAAAGAAACAAACAATATTGGAATTAAAAATATAAGGCATGAAAAATAAAAAGAAAGAAAAAAGTGACCAAATAAAGGAAACAACTACAGAGAAGAAAGAAAGAAAGAAAAAAAGAAAGAAACTCAACAAAAAGAAGAAACAAAGAATAAGAAAGAAACGAAAAACAAGAAAGAAACAAAAAAGAAATGCAACAAAAAGAAGAAAATTCAAGCACCTAAGAAAACCCCTATACATTTGCGTTTATATTCGTTCATAAGATAGTATGCCATTGAAAATTACTTTTATCCTTTCACGGTATCCCGTAAAAGTCATCTTTACTTAAATAAATTTGACTATTTATAAGTTCAAGCTATCTTAATATTATAAGTTAGATTTTGTCATCGCTGTGAACACGTCTGCCTTTATGCCTTGAGGGACTGTTGCTACATAATCTTTCTTCTGTAACTTACTCGAGGTAAATTTTAGTCGAGATGAACCTGAAGCGACACTTAGTGGAGTATTTTCAGTAACAGTTCATTAAAATATTTTTTTCAGTTTTACGGTCTCTTGCAAACGACTCGACATAAAGTTTTACTTAACTGGAAATTTACGCATTTCAAAATAAATAAGTCCTTATCATTATTACCATTAAATACTTAAGAGGTCTCATAGGAAAACTTAACGCCTTGGTGGCCTATGACGTGTGATTTGCCAATTCTCTGAGGCATGTGACCTGTAGATGCATCATCAAACTTTGCCGAATACTTCCGAACTTTGCCGAACTTTCTCGGTAGAATTTATGGCATTTTGAACAAAATGGTTTTATCTCATAATTTAAAGCAAAATTAAAGTTGTTTTAAAACTAAAAAGTCATTTTTATATTTACGCTATTTATATTGTTGGGACTGTTATCCTCATCTTTATTACCATATTCACGACATTTCGGCCGTTGTACGCTCCGGACTTCTTCAAGTGTTATACGTTGGAATTTCGAACCTAACCCATTATTTAGTCCACGGGTGGGGGTAGAGTTTTCTAATTCCACGTACCATGCCTTTGGATATCTCAGTTTCAGTTAATTCTCTTTAGTAACTAAATTCTCCAAATTGTTGTTCCATTTGCTGTGGCCAGGTATTATACTCACAACCTTTTGGGTCAAGTTACTTTTCGGATCACTCAAACAATGCTTTTATCTACTGGGCCATGTGGCATGTGGAATTAGAACAATCTACCACTGTGGAATAAATAAAGGGTTCAATTCGAAATTCCAAGGTATATCACTTGAAGAAGGTCGGAGCGTACAACAACCGAAATGTCGTGAATATGGCAATAAAGATGAGGACAACAGTCCGAACAATATAAAGAGTGTAAATGCTTACAATACCTCATCTCAGAAATATAGACATATGTCATTTTATGTGTGTGTATGTGTGAGAGAGAGAGAGAGAGAGAGAGAGAGAGAGAGAGAGAGAGAGAGTGTGTGTGTGTGTGTGTGTGTGTGTGTGTGTGTATTTAAATTAATTATTTAGCTTTCTTTTAGACTAAAATAAGCGACGTAGCTTCTCGTGTCGCTTAACATATGAAGTAATGATTTTTTTTTTTTTTTTTGCCTCCATTTATCTCTGGTAAAGGATGACTGCTTACAGCGGCTATGCCTGAAGCCTAAACTGTACAAGAAAAAAACTGTTTTTTTTATTTTAACTGTAAATCTGTATGGGGGTTTTCTACGTGTAGTTTAGAGGTGGCACAAGGTCTAATGTATGGAGCACCCAGTGAATCTCGAACTAACTACACAGTTGTAATTGTTCTAGCGAGACAAGCTTGCTAACCATTACACCACGTCATCGCGCCCCTGTTAATCTGTATGTTAACAATAATGATATTTTTATCATCATTTAATTCCAAAAGCTTGCATTCAAATCATTTTATTCAGGCCACATAATTCTTCTGTTTTATGGAAAAAAAACATTCCAGACGCTAATAAAATAAATAAACGATAAACAAGATCATACGCTTAACATCAACACATACCAAATAACATTCCAGACAATATTTGGCGAGCAGATGGTGGCACCTCTGCTCTCCCACGTGACACATCGGAATGTCTTGGAGTATCCCCCGTGGAACTGTCTTATTAATGACCTTACTAAAGTTCACTCGCTAGTCAAAAAATTCTTCATTTTAATTATTTATTTTCTTCAACTAGCACGCTTTCACCAAAAGTTGTTTTAGGTCCAGATCAGGCGAAATTGTAATTTCTGACAGACCTTCAAAAGCAACCCTTTCCCTTTGATCTTCAGTTGATGTGAAACCGAGACTGCTTTTCTATTTATTTAGCTTTCTAAATACATCAACATAATAATAGTTTTTTTTCCACATTAAGGACATTGAAATTGAGAAAAGTTATTGGTTTTATAAATGTATGTGAAAAATACATAAAGGAAAGGGAATATTTTTCATAACAAGAATTTATTTCATCAAATACTTAAAAATTAATTCTAATGTCAGTCAGTTACGTGCCATACGTGATACACGCGTAGGCGATCGTGTATCTTTCGATACATGACTGACGAGGCAGATTTCTTTCCTACAGTAGGCTGCCCTTTCTTTTTGCAGTAGACCAATTGCCATCGAAGGCTATAGAACCCGGTCTGTCCTGCTATTTGCCTATAGTTGGTAGAGGGAGAAGAAGAGGATTTATACCTTTCCCAAGGGTATTAGCACGTACGTGAACGTAATGGATTCGACTGGAATTCGAACTCGGCTCTCCGATTCCTCAATCCGAGCCGCTAAACATTACTCGACCGTATATTTTAAAACAGAATTTTTCACTAAATTCCACCGAGAGTTAGTGATAACTCCTAAACAATTTATAATCTCAAAAGGATCTTGAAACAAAACCTCTTTGTCCAATCAAATGTTAAGGAAAAGGGACATATATTCTAATCAATCAGCTCTCTCGGCATAGTCTGAGCTCCACTAACACAACCACATGAATTTAAGCGTTCTATTTGATAGCAAACTAGATCTCACCATTTTACTGTTGAAATAGCTAGATGTAACCGTAATTTCTATTCTGAGAGTTTCTTTTCTCGTACTTATCGCTTGTGGATCTGTTCCAGTTTCTTGCTTCACTGCCACCTACGACCTTCGAAAATTTAAATACAAAGTCAATCACCATTTTCTGTCTTCCGGAATCAGTTATGTGCCATATATGATACACGCTTAAGCGATCATGTATCTTTCAATACATGACTGACGAGGTAGATTTTTTTTCCCGCAGTAAGTTGTCATTTCTTTCTGCGATAGACCAGTTGCTAAACAAAGCCTTTTAAAACGCGGTCTATTTACTCATAGTTGGAAGGGGAGAGGAGAGGATTCATACCTTTCCTAAGGGTATTAGCACGTAAGTGAATGTAATAGATTCGACTGGAATTCGAACTCTGCCCTCCGATTCCTCTATCCCAGCCGCTAGCCATCTTCCGGAATACAGTTCTTTTATTGACTTTTCTCCTCGCTAGCGTCTTCACATTTTCTTTCACTTCCAATACCCCTTGAGTCTTAGTGACATTGTCGCTTTTCTTGGGATGAAAGAATTAGAAATGATATATCAAGGATGTCAAAATGGATAGATATCAGTGGCTTCTGAGAACAACGAACAATAATATTTCTTATATTGATACAATCATAAATGTATGCAGTATTAATCAGCGCCGACTGAACAATAAAATCTCGCTACTCAAATCTCTTATCTGTGATCTCGTTTTCTCTGGTTTCAATTATCCGCGGTCAATTCCAGAAATAAACTATTCATAAATTGTACTTAACACATCAGATGTACTTATACATCTTTAAGAATTTTATATTGCCTGCTGACGACGTATATATACATTTTCAAGGCACATTTTCAAGAAATGTTGAATTATGAACTAACACTTTTCTTCATTTAATACTGTAAAAAAAACTATGTGAAAAGAAAAAATACAACCCTTCGCCTTTTACAACTACTTAGCAAAAAGACATTTTCAACCAATGAGGTGTTCATATGGGATGTTTTTAATAAGCCCTGTTTCTAAGTCTGACTATGGCGACCCTGGATCTGGTTCAGGATAAAGAAAAGGAATGTTCTAGAAAAAAGATTGAGATGAAGTCTTAAAATTATTTTCAATTAATCAGAACCTAATTTGAAACATGCAACAATTTTGAAAGGTGACGAATTTAAGGAAAGGGACCATATGGTTTAATTACTATTTATTTACGACACGACAGTAGAATCTCAAGAGAAATGTAAGTCATTAGATGAAGTTTATCTTCAGTACTGAGTTGAGACATGGACACTTGAATCCATGACGACACATTTTACCAAGGTGTCCGGGCAACATACGAAACCTTAAAATAGATGATTTTTTAACTTCTTCATAAGAATCCACTCTCAAACAGACCAAATCTTCCTTGGTGATACAAAAAAAACTCGCTCGCTGCAACCATAATTTTACATAATTGTACTAACTTCAACAGATTTACGACAATAACACTGTTACCGCAATAAACAGATAACCCATACCGCTGCACGAAGATGCAGTCCACATATATTTAATCCAGGCCCATGTGGTGAATAAATGGAGAATGAATACACACCACTAATTTCTAGGTGTATATAACAATACATTTGTTAAAATTAGCTACCTCCACTTTTTGCGGAAAACAACATAGCGTAATGAGAATGGCCACCAACTTAATAAAAATAACGTTTTATTGTCAAAATGTTTATGTTATTATTAAGATGAAAGACCAAAGTATTTTTTATTATTTTTTAATCCTTTCTAACACGTTCGAAATTTTGGTTAAAATCTTGTTTTGTTTACGTCATCGGTGTAGAATAATAACTACATTGACTTTTTTGCGCTTTTTTCCGCTGAAAAACATTGATTTGGTAATTCTTGTAAAAATCAAATAATTGTCCGATTTTAAAGAAATTTTCAGGACTTATTCACAAATGAATGAAATTATTTTTGAAATTTTTTTAGAACATTTTGGTAAAAATTTTTTTTGTATGTTACCCCCCCTCCCATGTTAATTTCATGAAATTTCGAAAAAAATCTTTCTATTTTTTCAAACATGCACTATTCTAACTGAAAATCTCTGAACTGAAAAAATAATGAATGCAATAAAACTGTGACATTATTTAGTTAGAAAAGCTTTTAATTGCTTTTGTAAATAAGTTATATTAAGATACTATTGTCTGAAGAAATAATTTTTTTCTGATGAATAATGAATTTTACAAAATTTTTTCATTTTTTTTAAATTTTAATTATAATAATTTCTAATAATTTAAAATCGTGTAAAATTCTGTATTGAATTATTTTCTGGATGTAATGTAGTAGTTAAGTGGAATCCAAAATTGAAAAGAGTAATAAACGAAAAGTAAATAAAAGTCAATAAATTATTAGATAATGGCGGAAAATATGTTCATTTGTAAAAATTACTAGATAGTTAAAAACAAAAAAAAATGCGTTCACTTAGATTTTGCAAATTTTTATATCAATTCTAGTCAGCCATACTCGCTGTCATCGCTTCATCACTCAATCGTTCATCAATCATCACCTCAGATAAACAGGACCAATCATTAACAAATGGTTCTATATTACTTTTTATGCTATAAGTAATATTTATTTAAAATCAGATTAATTTAACTTTAAATTTTTTAAGTTTACTCAAATAACGTTTCAGATATATATATATATATATATATATATATATATATATATATATATATATATATATATATATATATATATATATATATATTTGGAAGAGTTTTAAAATCGATAAATTTGTTTTGTTTACAAATTTTTTTAAATTAAGAAAATGGCCGTTTTTAAGAAAATTTTAAGAAGTCGAAATTAAATTTGACATTCCAATCTATATAATCTCTATTTGAAATATACCAGAATATTTTACTTACTGGAAATAATAAATTTAATCCCTTAGCTTTCAATTAAAACTAAAATGAAATCTTCAAGAAGCTTTTTCATTTTTTAAAATTCATTTTAAACCTTAGGTGTCGAAAATTTATGCCGGAAAAATGGAATTACCTAGTTAAAAGTATGATACAAAGCGTCATTGCATACACATCTGAAATCAAATGTAAAAAGACGGAGTTGGCAATAAAAAAGGCTGCTTCATCAGAACCGAATCTGAAATCTTTTCTTTTTTTTTCATCACCCCGAAGATTTCAAATTTCTAAGGCCGGCAACGCTTCCACTTTTGATGTCAGAATATTATCACCAGTTTGCATTCGAAACAGGGAGACAGAGAGAAAGAGAAAAAGGGAGAGAGAGGAAGGGAGAGAGAGAGAAAGAGGGAGACAAAGAGGCTGTCATGCAGTACTCAAGTTTAAAAATCTTGAGTTCTGTTAAAAATGATTTTAGCGTTAAGTAGGCGAAAAATAGGGAATTTCAAAGAGACCATCTTGGGATCTGAAACTATATTAGCTTTTTGATTATGCCATTTATTCTTAATCTCTCTTAAGCTTCCTTTCATAATATATGAATGGCGAATATAATAAAAATCAATATTTTGGCAAGTAACCCCAATTTAACTTACTGTCAATAGCTTTTAATTGACTTTTCCATTAGAGCTCTTCCCAAAAACTGATGGAGTTTTAAATTAGTGAAAAACAATTCACTTCTCGTCCTCATAAAATGCTATGGCGAATGTGGTTGCTTTTTAGGCAAACCCAAGGGGATATTTTTCAACATGTTTCTTCATTTTAGCTCCAAAATTTTTCCTGAGATTAAACTTAAAAAATACCTGGCTAATTTCCGCATTCATCTTTGCAAAAAAAAAAAAAAAGCTTTTGTAACCCATACGCAACTCCGAAAACGGTACACACAATTCTTTCGTTCACCAAATTCTACAAAACGCTAGAAAAATCTCAGACGGTCAAGTGCAGGATTTTGAATAGAGTTAAGTTCAATCAATAGTGATGTGTAGTCTCTTTTCGGGTTCAGGACATCCAACTGCAAAACATTTATTTTAATATACACTTTTCAACCTCTGGATATCCTAGCTTGTCTTAGATCTATTAATTTAATGCCAGATTTGATTAATATATATATATATATATATATATATATATATATATATATATTCCATGTATGTATATATGTATGTATGTATGTTATATATTTGTATATTTATGCAGCAATCCGTCGTTTATCCATACTTCATTAAAAATTCAACAGACAAGGTTAAGCTTTTATTTAATTTTTCTTGTGTTCGAAGAAGAGCTTTTATTTTGGACAAAGAATATATATATATATATATATATATATATATATATATATATATATATATATATATATATATGTATGTATGTATGTATGTATGTATGTATATTTTAATTTAACGAATATTGGCGTGGAAGATGGAATCGACGAGCCGAGTTAAATTTCGGGTTAGTCTTTTGCGTTCATTTTCTCAAAAATGCCATTGAGAAAAACAGGAATCCATCTCTTCCCTACACCACCAACTATGGGTTAAATAGCATTGGGTAGCAACCAATGAAGGAGGAGGACAGCTCTGAATCCCGAACCATGCTGTAAAGGGATAAAAGTCCATCTGGCTTACACACACAGTACATATGCTTCACTTTCGATCCTCATGGATCACACTATTCGTGATCGTAATATATATATATATATATATATATATATATATATATATATATATATATATATATATATTAGATATCGCACATTGAGTGGTGATATTAATAAAAACCTAGTTGCTCTCGTAATATAATAGCGCCTGAAGATTTATGTTGAGCATGAAAATCCGAGATACTACAGGTGAGGAATAATAACAATTAATATATATATATATATATATATATATATATATATATATATATCGCAAAATGTAAATCAAATATATCGAATACTTATAGAGTTCTTTGTTAAGATAGAGAACTTTTCAGAACCCCTTGTAGTGTATCACTGAATGTAGGAATAATATGTATTTTTTTTTCATAAGTTAATTTTTATGGCTTCATCCGGAATTAGTTCACAAAACGTTTTCCAGGGGTGTGTCCAGTGATGGGTAGCATTTCTTCACTGTTTTTCTTAGATTCTTTGAATGCTTTTCATAAAACCCTTTCTCTTTAATGTGTTCCCCAATTTGGTCATTGAGCCTTTACATTCTAAAGGTTCATGCCATCTAAGGCTAGTACCTTCTTCCTCCCTAATACTTTTTCTTTCTATATTTATTTCCTTCCTTCTCTCCTGTTCATTTTATTTTGTTTTATTTATGTATTTATTTATTAGACTTCCTTCTCGTATTGTCAACAAAATGGCGATCTTGGTGGGCTACTTATAATATACCACTCTTCCCTCTGATAGTTTGAACATACCAAACAGTACATCCTGGCAGTCGCTAAGTATAACATTTATCTTTGTAGTTTTTCTCCACCTCGTCTTTCTGCCACTGACGAGTTCTCGGATGAAGTATCGCGAGATAATGACGTCCATATGACGTTCATATCACGTGTCCTATGTGTCGCTCCTTTTTCCCCTTCCAGCATAGAAAATGTGCACTATGACAAGCCACCGTAACGATAATACGTTGACTCTTTCTTCATATTTAACCCTCTAGGCAATATTCATTCTTGTGGTGGTTTTAGTGGGGAATTGGTGAGATTTTTTTTTTTTTTTTAATATTATTGGTTGTCATGATTTTTCGCCACCTTTTTTGTTTATCGTCTTCATTTCGTTTGTAATTTTGCTGTGAATTTCGCGTCCCTTTTGCTATAAAGAAAATGCGCTTTCTCTTATGCTATTTCGTGGGTAAATGCATCAACTCCATAGACTTACTTTCTTTTTTTTATTCTTTTTTGTACTTATTTGTTTTCATTTTTGTTATTTCTTTATTTTCTTCTGTTTCCATTTCTTAATATCTTCGCTCTTTTTAGTTGCTGTTTTTCCATGTATTTTTCCCTTTTATTTCAGCATCTGCTTCTACTTTTTAATTCAGAAATCTCTGCTATTAACCTCCCACTTTCTTTTGCTCCTTAATCTTTTTTTCTTTCTTTTGTCGTTTTCTTTTTCCTCTTCAGAATTTGTTTTCTATTTTTTTTATTCCTACGTTTCCTCGTTTCTACAATTTTATCCACTCTTTACCTTCTTTCGTCCTTCTATTTTAAAATTTTCTTAGGTTAGCTTGATCTCCAAACAAAATAAGTACAGGAAAATTGTATTGCACTATTCCTTAAAACGGGAGAGTACGTAACGGCCTTAAAAATCAACACCCCCCCAAATCTTGATTTTTTTTTTTTCTCCGATGTATAATCACCGACCAATCAAAATATGCACTTACTTCAGTCATAAGACAGCCATATTCATCAAGTTAAGCTTCACACGGCAATAATGGTTATTTATTAACTTTGCTTAGGATGGCGTATAGGTTAGAACATTTGGATACTCAGCGAAGATTGAACTCGTAACACAAGCATTGATTTATGGGACAAGGTTCTTAACCACTCCGCTACGCTAGACGACAATTTTGGACTTCTGAATTCCTGCCACTTTTTCTTATATTGATTCTTTTTTTATCTTCTTTCTTTCGTATTTGTTCTTCTCTCAATTCAACATTTTTACCATATTTTCTTTATTTATTATTCGTTATTTATTTTTGCTTCATACCTTTTTTTTTATTTTCTTTTACCTTTGTGGTTTATATTTTCCCTTTTCTACTTTTCCACTTTCTTTTTTTTCTTTCTTTTCTAAATTTTAGAATTATTACTTTCTTTCTTTTTCTCTTTTCTTCCTTTTCGATTATGAGTATCTGTTCTTTTTAATTCTGCTTTTATTTAGTTGTAGCCTCTCTCTATATATCTACTCTCTCTCTCTCATATATATATATATATATATCTCCCTATCTCTCTCTCTCTCACACACATATATACACATATATATATTTTATACACATACTTAGATATATAAAAAAAGTCATGATATACCAAACAGAATTCCATAACACACATTGAATCATTTAATAGGTTCCAAATAAAAAATAGTACACATTTATATATACATACAAAACATACATAAATATATATACACACATACATACATATCTACAAATAAACATATATATATATCCATAAATATATCTACCTGCAAAAACAACCACCCTTTAATATACATACATACATAAAAATACAACAACTTTCAACCAAATACATATATAAACGAACTAACATATAGATACATAAATATACCTTCAAACACCAACACACACAGCAATATATATATAGTCTAACATACAAATATATAAACACATTCATACAAACAGAAATATACTTAAATATAAACACATACACAATAAAATAGGACATACAGATATATATACACATATATATATGCACACATATATATATATACACACATACATACACACATACACATACATATATATACAAATATATATACATGGCATAAAGCTGAAATCAAGGGCATCCCGTGAGAACGAACTCATTTAATATATTAAAACGAAAACTCTAAAACAATATATATATAATATGAACCATGCTGGCTAACCATTATACTGTCGTGATTTAATCATATACATACCTGTACATACTCATATATATATACATACACACACATACATACATATACAAACATACATATATATATGCATATATATATATATATATATATATATATATATATATATATCAACACATATATATACACACACATATATATATATATACATATATATATACAAACCTATATATATATATATATCTACATACATACATACATATACACACATACACACAAATACATATATATATACACACACAGCATATACACACACACATACATATATAGGCACACACATACACATATACAGTAATATATTATATATATATTCTCTCATAATCTACCTTACTTTCCCATATATATATATATACATATATACACACACACTCACATATATATACATACATACATACCCCATATACACCCTCACATGTAAAAAAAAAAAAAAAACCATAAATACATTTATACACCAACCTACACACATTCCTATATATGCAAATATATCCTAACCAACACATAAATAAATATATATATTTTACCAACACTATTAACACTATGCAGGTAAACAATACACACTTATATCGTAACACCATACACACACATACCATTATGCAATAAAATACTAATCTATTAAAAAATACAGCGACATATCATTATCATTTTAAATTATACGACCCCTACACTAAAGTTAAATTTATAAAAAAAAACCATGTTTATAATTTACTATCCAGTTCATATCTTTGATTTAATAGATCACACCTTGTTTTAAATCT